GTTTTCATTAAGTTGGAAAACCTATTTATTATCGTATAGTGCCAGAAACGTTGATGGCAACGCACTGGCTGCTTACCTTATGCATTGAAATGAGCAGGCAAGTGTTTTATCTAAAGTACTGTTTGGGAAATGAGACCCTTTGGTTTTGTAAATGGCTACTCACAGTTGAAGAGTCAGAATTCAGGTAGGTCAATTTTGAAATGAAGAATGATATGTATTATTTCTGGAATGCACTTAATTGGTACATTTTAAAAGCATAATGTCACTTGGATACTAGAGTTATAATGTAGTTACAGGCAGCTGTTATAAAACTTCAGAGTTTTTCCAAGGCAAAACTGTCAGGAAGTTTTTCTTTTTTTTTTTTTTTAATAAAGAAAAAACTGTTCATCCAATTCCAAAAAAAGAAATCACAAAGTGTTTCTCTCCAGGGACCATTTTTTATATTTGAACTGAACCTGACATGCTAGTAGTCGTAACCTGTCATGATAACGTGGATCAGTTTCTACATAGAGTAATTTTTGCTTATCTCAGAATTCTTCAGGGAGACAAGGATTAGTAGCTTGTATATTCTGTCAACCTGGGCTTCAGGTATCAAGTGAGCAGGAGACAATGAAATGGAGGAAATGGGACAATGAATCTAAGATGTTCAAATTCCATCTTAATTGCTTCTGTTTTTCTTAACCGGATTTCTTCTGGTTTTACATTAATTATTTAAAATGTTTCAAGAGATAAAAGTGGTTGAAGTATTGAAGATCATATTTGGTCATCTGAACAAGTATTAAGATTGTCTATCATTTCAAGACAAAGGCTTTCTTAAAACTGAACATCACAGGAAGAAATAAACTTGTATTTTCACAGGTGTCAATTTATATGATAGCTGCCTGTTTGTTCACAATTTCAAAATAAATTATTTCAAAATAAATAAAAGCTGATTAGCATAGAAGCTTTTAATTTTCTGAATTTTTAATACCTCTTCCTTTGACTACCTGATCTGTTAGAATAGAAGACCCTTGAGGTGTATAGCAAAGAAGTCCAAATAGAACCAAAATTCAAAGGTATTTGATTTACTGAAGCTTATCTTTCCGGAGAGAAAAAAGCTGTATTATATGATTTTCTGTTAAGGAACACAAACTGGTCATGGCATCACCTCATTAAGAAGTTTGAATGTAATATTAACATACTAACTTAAAAAAAATGAAAAAAACATCTTTCCATTTTAGAGGTTAAAGATTCCTTAAATCTTGTTCAAGACTTGTTTAAATTATAGTGTTGGGGGTACCTAAATGAAGGATATAATCTTCTCTGTTCATTATTTTTGCTCTTTTAGATAAGGTATTTCACTTCTTTTTCCTTAGGAATTGAGTACTCTGCTAGAAATGATTGAATGTTCCATGAAAAGAGAAATAAAAAAATCTTTGGATTGGGATTTGTAAATGATTGTTTGATATATCATATAATGATGCAACCTGTGTCTTTTTGTACTTTAGAACATGGTAATTTGTTAATTCTGGTGAGTAAGTCAAAATTGTGGTTATAAACAGCTACTTGCATATATGCTAAAATCTCAAAGACATAGAGCTAAGAAATATGGAATACATTGTATATTGCTTTTTCACTATAGTAGACTTATAAAATTGATGGCAAATGTTTTCAAACCCTCAAAAAAGAACCCAAAACGCCATGCTTTATCAAACTGAGTTACAGAGGGGTATATAGGAAGCAAGACAGTGCATCAGTTATCTCTAGATAGAGGCAGTAAAATCAAGTAGCATTTGGTGTATTCATCTTTTTGGGAAGTAGTTTTTAGAAAACAATTTCCTTACAAATAGAAGAAACTACTCTACTATTTCAATCTTTAGCAGTGTGGTATCCAAGTAAAAATTTACTATTTGAAAATAAGAGGACTTTTCTAAATGAAAATGTTTGTAGGGGCAAAAAAGTAGAAAATCACCCAAAAAAGGTTGACCCAGATACTTCTTGAGAAGGTGTTTAAATACAGTGAAAAAGAACAACATACATATTTTTTAGACTCATGAAGCCTTTAGAAGCCAAGGTCTCAGTTATCTCAGTCACTTCTGTCCAACTGCTCTCTGTCTAAATGTTCGTATTCTTTTTCCTTATCTCATGAATCCACAAAGCGTTTAATCATGTGAAAGTGAAAAAGGGAATTCCCAAAGTAATAAAATACTATTCTCACATCCTTCATAGGAGCTAGAAAGGAAGGCAGGCAGGAAGGAAGGAGGGAGGGAAAGAGGAGGAAGAAAAAGAATGAAAAAGAGAAAACCTGAGGATGCTGACAAACTTGAAGGGCCTAATTAGTTTACTACACATAATACATATATGTATGTGTGTGTGTGCGTGTGTGTATACTACTCATTTTACATCCACCAGGAGTCTTACTCAAAAATAATATCAAACTCTATAGATATTCAAGTTACAGTCACACTTGATATTTGGATCTTGCACTTTCTTGTTACCCTAAGGACAATACGAATGCTTAATTAGATCGTACAGCAAAAGTTGAATGGACACATGGTACCAAATTTTCCCAACAGAAAATGAATTGCATGCTGTTGGGCATATATAATGCAAGAAGTTCCTTTTGTCCTTTTAGATTCATTCCGATTAATGTATTTCTTCAGTTTCTTGTTTGTTTTATCAAAGTTTTGGTGTGCTGAATTTTATGACATTCCATTAAATATGAATTTTATGTTTAAAAATCTATAATCGGTTAGCTTTACCATTTTTTTCAGCTTTCTTCTAGGTTTACAGGGTCAGGCTATTGACATAATTTTAATTGTGCAGGCCAAGTTTGATTTTTCTGTCTCTTTTCATCTTCCCTATTGGTGTCCTTTCTTGCAATCCAGTTGAATATAATAAAGTATTTAATGTATGCCCATAAAATGGGATACCTACTACAGTCAGGTATTCACTTGCATTTTAGTAGAATGATTTTAGGCAGAAAAAAGAGTGTGCTTTTAAGGATCAAAAGAAAAAAACAATGAGTATCCCTTATTGCAGGCCATTGAGATACATAACAATAGAAAGAGATGGATTTTACAAGTGCTCTGTTATATCCCCAAAACAAATTTAAAAGACAGGACTAATAATTTTGGCTGCCATCAACTAATAATTATCTTTGCACGACAAAGCAATTAAAGAATTGTTTAAAAAATCTCCCTGAATTACTGTTGACAATTCTATAGTCATCTTTAGTTTACCTAGACCTTCTTGGCTAGAATGATATCTACCTTAAGAGTGAAATTCTTCTTGATAATACTTTTCAGTCAATAACACAAAAGCAATTTATCTGAGACTCCAAGTCAATGCTAGGCTTGGATTTCAAAAGGGTAATTTATACCAATAAAAATTTCGAATGGGGTTTCATGTTGTTGACAAACTATCTGGCTGCTCTAATATTTTGCTTGACTTTAATGACAGAGATTTGAACTAAAAAAGGTAAAAAATTTTAAAAGAGGGGAATCTTTTAAGTGGTTCCATATAAATACACTGATCCAGATCACCCCAGCCTCAGAAGAAAGCCATATTCTCTTGTTAGCCTTTAAAGATAGTGATATTGACCATAAAGGAATGCTTCATGGAAGACAATAAAAGTAGAACTGTTCTAGAAATTGAGGCTTTACTAGGTATGGAAACTGGGCATAGTTTCTTATTAAAGGTGATGTAGAAATATTTATTTGTTGTTCAAATGGTTTGAACATAAATTAGCTTTGACTTAGATTTTATTCTGAGGAGTTTGAAATGGTTTCTCTGTAGTCTAATGTGAAAAACTCTAACTTGACTCTTACCATGTATTATTTTAAAAAGTTAATTATTTTAAGAAAAAGAATGTTGACAGATTTGCTAATGCTGGCTCAATGTCACAATTCATGTTTGTCTTATTTATGACATCTTCTACATCTTTCTTTTTGCCAAAAATGGAGAACATGGAGAAAAAATAATTTAAACATAATTCATAATTACGTGTTATCTCCAGAGGATAAAACCTCAAGGAATCGGCCAACAAAATCATTTTTATTTCTCAGATCTGAAGAACTTGATATGAAAATTTTCAAAAAAGCTTAGCATTCTGACTGTTGGATATAATTAAGTTGACTCTTTTGAGACAGCAAATCTTTGTCCTAACTTATTTTTCTGATAACTCTAATTAAAAATTGTGCATGTTTGTTTCCTCCTTGAAAACTTTCTGTTCTATACAAACTCAACTTGAATTAACCAGTTATTTGTAAGTAAAACACATTTGAATGATGATAAAAGACTACCTAACCACTTTTAATTTTGGAAGACTGAGAATACATCTTCACCTCTGGCACAGAATACTGTCAAGTGCTGCGGGGGGCCTCTCCCTGGCTCTAGCTCTCTGGAGCATCCCTGAATGAGTTGCACAGGCCTGGGGTCACAAAGGTTTCTATTCACCTAAAGTTGACCACTTGTTTTGCTAGCAGCGCACAAAAAAATGTGAAGAATAAGGAATATAGTATAAGCCCAAAAATGATTTTATAGATTTTAGGACACAGAATCAATATTTCTTATTCTTTGTGATCCAATTTACTAAATTTCCCAACTAGGGAAGGATGCATGTTCTATAGTGTCAGAACAAAAAACAAGGGATGTTTAACATGGATGGAGCTAGTGGGTATTATGCTCAGTGATATAAGCCAGGCAGAGAAAGACAAGTACCAAATGATTTCACTCATATGTGGAGTATAAGAACAAAAGAAAACTGGAGGAACAAAACAGCAGCAGAAGCACAGAACCCAAGAATGGACTAATTGCAACACAGAGAAGACAAGTAGTGATTTTACAGCATCTTACTATGTTGATGGACAGTGACTGTGAACAGGGAAGTGGGGGGGACTTGGTGAAGGGGGGAGCCTAGTAAACATAATGTCCTTCATGTAATTGTAGATTAATGATACCAAAATAAAAAAAAAACACAAAAAAACAAGGGATGTTTAGAATCAAAGTGTATTCTTCTCAATGAATGTTAGCTCAGCAGGCATGTTATAAAAGGAAAAATTGTTTGTTGTAATATCGCTTGCACACTGAGGGTCTGTTCTTTGTGCTAATTTTAGCTGGCTTTTCTGTGCCACACGGTAGAGCTGGTATTTGACCTTTTTTGTTCCTTCAGTCCAGATGTTCTGACACTTTCATTTACCTTCATTATTGTACCCAAGACTACTTCTATCTGCTACCTTCAGAGTTTCTATTTATAGCTCTGAGTTTCTAATCCCAAATTCACTAATATGTGCAGGTGATGAGAGATTGACACTACCTTCTAAGAAAACTGAAAATGGCTTGTGAAGGATTGTTTTCTTTTTTCTTTTAAAAATAAGAATGACCATCAGTCAAATAAATCATTTGACTTTCATTAAACCACACCTGTATGTTATGGAAACTGCATCTTCTTTATGAGTATACCTTCATGAAGAAAAATATCAAATGTCTTTGCACAATCTCATCTAAAACTCCTGCCCAGCCCACCCTTCTATCTGTCTCTGTGCCTTGAATCTGATGTATAACTACCAGGTATAGCAAAATAGGAGCAATTGTCTTTAAAAAGTGAGATGGTACGAAGAAGCAATTTTGCACATTTCTGAAATTACTCCAATTAATACTTTACTATCCTATTTGTATTTAATTAAATTCAATAGACCATGAAAAAAATATATTTAGCAGAATCTTTTCCTTATCATCAAATAGTGAAAAGGCCACAGAGGATGACTGAATATAAACTGATTCCTTTATTTTTAAAATATTTATCAAAAGAATCAAGAACAAGCTACTACTTAGGCTTGCCATTTAGTTTTTCTTGCCTCTTCTGCTTTCAAATAATAAGTAACAGTAGTTAAGTCTAATATTAAGAATTATCTGATCAGCAATTAGATGAATTAACAGAAGATAAATTCACTATAATTTAATGCATTCAAATTAAATATTTTCCATTATTTACTACAGTCAAACATATTTATTAAGGGCAAAGTGTCCAATGATACACAAAAAGATGATTGTTGAAAACTTTTTCAGTAAACTAACAATCCTATTTGATTTTTATAGTGGAATTTTCTAAATGTGTAAGCAGGTGCTAATTTAAATTTTGCTATGGGTAATAGGAAGGCAAAATACTAGCAAGCCCACCCACCATTCCAGGTATATTCAGATTTGTGATTAGAAGAGAGTTTATCCAGGTAGGTAATAATAGGAGCTGTAATCTTATTTAGGGGTTTAGAAATGAATCCTAAACTTATATGACATTGCTAAATAATAATCTGATGCTTAGAATTTCCTCATTGTAACATAAGGTTACCAGTTGCTTTTAGATGTAATCTTAACAAATTATTCTAAATTATGGAGGAGTAATTTAACTTTTAAAGGTTTGATTATTATTGGCTATGCCACATTTAGTTAAAATTGTATTTTAAGTAGTAAGACTAAAAATGTGAATTATTCATTTTGAAATCTGCAATTCTTAGTGTTATCATCAACATGGCTGAGAAGGGCAGGTTATTTTCAATATGACTGCATAATCATTTTCCAATGTTATTAATTATACTAGATGACTTACAACCAATCATACCCTGAAGCCAAAATTCTATTATACTTAATAAACATTTGGAAAACAGTAGTAATGAGCACTTTTTATCTTTAATCTTTCACCTTCTAAGACTTTATTAAACCAATAGTTAACTTGTTCTAAGACCCGTCTATGTTTTCACAAAGCCTACGTACTCGACTCATCTGACCTATGCTCAGCTTTTACTTGTTTATTCATTCTTAACTACTCCTTAAAATTACACACTACAAAGATCTGAAAATCTGGACAACATTACACATGCAAACAGATCTCTTGAGAGGAATAGAAAACATAGGATAGATATTTAAAGAATTGTATGACAGAAATAATCTGATGTGAATGTATTAATTACTTTATAGCATGTGTGCAAATGAATAATTTCTGATACAGTTTAAGCATGTCATTTGCTCGGATGATTTCTATATGAGTCATTCCTTGCTGCTCATTTTGCTGAAGTAGAATAGTAAATATCTTTTAAAAGTTCACACCAACTGTATTATTGCTTATATAAATTATGTGTCTATTTTCCTAAAGGTTCTATGAAGTACACAGAAGTACAAGTTTCATATGGCATCCATCACCATGGCTTAAATTATTGCTTGAAAGGTTGTCATAAGGTATTGCTAGGAAATCACTTTTAAATGAATGTACAATTCAGGGTGAAAAGTACAGAGTGAGACTAAGTATTAAGTTGGTGATTTTTATAATATAAATATAAATGTATACATTTGTATCAAAGCATTCAGAAATAAGGCTGTCAGTCAACATTTGCTCTTCTGTCCAAAATTTCATAGTTTATATCTCAGTGGTGAGGATCAGCAAATATGATATACTGCATGACTCAGGCAGCAACTAAGAAAATGGTACTGTATCTAGGATGCCTAATAGCCCTATAGTGAGCAATATTCATCCCTCATGCTTATCAGTGTTGACTTCAGTCTCTAATAAGTTTGAAGACTCATGCTCAAATGTCAGACCAGAAATTTGAAATCAAAGCTAAAATTAAAACTTGTGAAAGAAATAATGCCATGAAGCCCAGAGTATTTAGCTTTTCAAAATAACTACAAATGAAGTAATATATTGCTTTCTCAGTCAACATGCATTTATTCCTAGTAAATGAGATTATTTGAATACTGTTCAATGATTCCCAAGTCTGGCATAGATTAGCATTACCTAGAGTGATTTTCTAAATACAGATTCCTAGGCCTTACTTAAGACCTACTGAATCCAACTCTCTAAAGTGTAAAAGCTCAGTAATTTATATTCATAAAAGCTTCCTAGGTAATTCTTATGAAGGCAGCCAGATACTGCCAAGCTGATGAGTTGAATCATTGAATGGGATCATTTCTTAACAAAGATGGGATGGCAGTGAAGCACCTGAGAGAAGCTGTGGTCTAGTCACAGCATATTAGAAATAAAGACACAAACCTTACTTTTCTACATCCCAAGTCCTTCCAAAATGTCACTTCTTTAATCATGTAATATCTACATTCAATGCACATATACACACACACAGACAGAATATTCCTTACTATATAAATGAAACTATTTTACGACATGAGATTGGTAGTCATTCTTCCCGTTATATGTATCAATGACTATTTTTTTAATGAAAGAAACAAAAGAGGGAGGGAAACATAAAGGTGGCAAGACAATGTTACTTAGATTTCAATTGTTTGAATCAAGTGTGAGGAAGGAATTTTACACACTATCTCAATATGCTCTGAATTACGTTAATCCTTATATAATCAGGTCTGTTCTTCATTCACCACCATGAGAATTCCAAAATTGAGTCCACAGCTGGGGTCAATTTACCCATTTAGCAATAAAATGTTAACACAATTATGTGTATGTTAAGTTACTGCTTGTGAATTAAGTATATTAATATCAAGAGCTACCCATAAAGAGTCATCATTCATACTGGCATATGTTAAGCTCCAGCCATTCAGTTCCTCATGTATCATGGTCCCAGGTTATATCTGAAATGGCATGGTTTTTGCAGTTGAAGATCTATAATCTAACAGATTATAAACCCCAGGCTACAATATGGAGTTTGGTTCTTGGACTTGAGTTTCTAGGTATTGTTGGCTGAAAAGCATCTGGTATCACCCAAAGCCTACATCCTGTATAATTCATTCCAAAGGAACATTTAGTAACATTACATCAAGAGCTTGGAGTAGGACTGTATTTTGAAGAAAGAGCAGAAGGAGAACCTGCAGATGTAAGTTATGTCCCAGGCACAACCAAGAATTGTTAGTTCACTCTGAAAGTGCGCTGTTGCTTGGGCCTGAGTTGTGCTGGTCTCCCATCTGCCAGAAACAGGCATCAGCACTCTCTCCATGACCATGTTAGGTTCAGAGGCACAGAGAGGATGGGGTTTGATGGGCCCAGGCTTGAGGGGGTGCAGTGACTTCCAGTGATGGCATGGAGTAAGACAGCATCTGAGCCCGGGCTAAGTCTGGTTCAAAACGCATGATTTAAGACACAAACTTATGGGTAGAACTTTTACTTTATTCCCAGATGACCCACAACACCTATCTTCAGCAAGTTAGGAATTCAAAGAGCCTTCCAGAAATATATTCCTTGATGGTTATAAACTTGCTCTCCCTCTTGTTATCTCTCACCCCCAAACACACTACTTCAATTGTTGGCAATATGATTTTGTACAAAACACAGCGTCTGGTGGTTTTCCAAATTCTCTATGGTTTACCTTTTTGTACCTATCAATTTAATTTTGCTACTGCTGAAACTCTTTGGAGGAATTTCCAAAATTAAAAACTTGATGCATTTATGAATGAGGTTTTATTTGTTTCCTATTTCATTTTACCTGGAGAGGCACCCACTTTTGCACTGTCACAATAAAACACTATGTTCCTGATACTGTTTATTGTCACTGGACAAGAGGACCAAGTATGAGATCATGAGAGCTCACATCTGAAGTGCTGGACCCAGGGATTTACTCTCAAGTCCCAGGCAGGCATCAGTGCCTATCTCAGGCACAATAGGTCTCAGTTCACTGGGCTCCACCCATTGTCAGGTATTAAAAAAGAAACCCAAAATAATTTAAATTATATGGGAAGAGATTAATATCAAGGCAAACTTTAGACCACTCAGTCACCTGTTACCTAGAAGCTATATCAACTTTCCTTTCTCCACACCACACTATACAGCCAAGAGACTCAACTATACGTGTTCTCCAGGCACTGAGTATTATTCTTTTTATTATGGCTAATGCTACCTATTAATTAAGTTTCACAAATCATATACTGTGCAGTATGTTTCGGGTACATTAGGGGTTTCTGACTTTATTAGATAACTGATTTATTTGCAAATGATAACATTCTCTCCATCAAAATGATATTGATGCCAGCATGAAGCTTTGGTACTGATGGCTAATCATAAATCAATTGCTTGCAAGAACACTAAAACAGAGGAGAATAAGTGCCAAATTATATTTGAAAGTATCCCTTCTAGAGTGGGTTAAACCATTTCCCCAGATTAATACCATTTGATTTCAAATAGGACAGTCATTTAAATTCCTTTTAATCTGCCATGCTAAAATTCATATGTGTAATTGTTTGTAGATGAGAATACTCTATAGATATTAGTCAAATGTAATACCAACTACCACCCATTGTTATAGTCACAATACTCAATGGAGGGTATGTGGATTGTATTCTGTAGGACAAATAAAAACACAATGCTTTTTCACAGCTTTTGAATTCTATGACTGCAGCTTGTACGGTACCTTTACAAACACATATAGCAACAGTGTAACTATATCAACTATACTAGGTTGACAAAATGATAACATATTAGACCATTACCTCAGTTTATAGCTCCAAAGATATATTTAGATTATATTGCATGAAAAAATGTAGTTTACATCCTGTCTGTAATATATATAGATCTCTGGCTTATTCTTCATTGTGACATTTGTGGCAATGCAAATGGCCACTTCTTATCTAAGTCAAATCATGTAAACTAAAAAAGAGTGTGTTATTCTTCTGACAAATTGGATGTATATACAGTTCTTGTCTCTGGCTTCTTACCAATTACCAAATAAAAATTGGATTTTCAGTGATTCTTTTAAAATATGCTTCCCATAGATATTCCTAAGTATAGAGAGAAATGTTTAGAATAGTTGCTTAGACAAATTTTACAAAAAGCAGAGAAATAGATTGGATGACTCCTGGAAGTCCCTTTTAGCCTTATGGTTACAAAACACATTGTTTACCACCATAATGTTTACTGATTTCCTATACCATGATAAGCTCTGAGTTACTATGCAGAAGCATAAATGACTTCAGTGAGCTTATATGTATATATATAGGGAGCCCAGCAGCCTAGCAAAGGTGTTTCCTATTCTTGGCCTGAGGGCTGAGGTGATCCCAGCATGTTCTGTCCACACTGACCGTAAACCTCCCCTCTATTCTCTGGAGGAAGTGGGTTGATCTCTCAGTCCTTTGTAATTACTTCCACGAGAGCACCTTATCCTCAGCCTACACAGTCTCCCATAAACACCCTGGCCTTCTTGCCCTCATGTGGTTAAAAACAGAGACCTAGATGCAAGGAAGAAAGGGTTAGGCAAGGATTCCAAGAGCTCAGGGTCCAGGTCCTGTCTCCACATGAAGAGTGTTGCACAAGTGTTCTCATAAGTCCCAGGGAAAGAATGGAGTTCAGCAATTATAAAAATTATAACCATTATAACAAATACTTCAGATATCTATTAAAACAAAATTTTTTCTAGCTTTTTCATGAACTTAAAAACACTAACTGAGCCTCACAGACTATACTGGATGGTAGTTAATGTGCTCCTTAGCAGAGTTATGTCATAATCAAATCACAATGCAGCCAAAATCCCTGACCAGAAAAAAATATATATTGCATTCAGTAGACATAAGCTACCAATGAGTATACCTACTGGAGTAAAAAGATGGCCACCTCAAGGTTTCAAGGAAATAAATGCTGCCAGTTCATTAACCTCAACAGAAACTTAGGTTTTATATCTGATCCAAAATAGAAAAACTCTGGACACACTGTGCTCCTAATTTCATGGTGAGTCTGTAATAGCATTTTTCATGCAGTGTTAAGCAATGGGAACAGGTCTTCATTTTAGTAGAACATGCATTGGAAGCCTGTCTGGTTACTAGGTCTGAAAGTTAGACCTTCTTCAGTGTACATGTGGGTGATTCATTGAATTTACAAGCTACATCAATTAAACTGCAGAAGAACATTTTTAAAAATCTCAAAGCCATAAAATACAATTTCTTTCTCCTTGCTTCTTATTATGCAAGAAGAAACAACATGCTTGGCAAAATGTCTTACGCCTTTTCCTCACTAATGCCTGTATCTAGAAATTTGCTCCCAAAAGTGGTAATAGCCTTTAGGAGGCAATCCATTGGTGATTGGAGGGGGAGGACAGGGTACTAACATCTCATTTAATATGATGCTGTTTATTAGAGTGCAGTTTAGTAAATTGCAAAAACTACCTCTATTTATAAATGCTAAATTGAAAGGGTCCAATGTAGTAAAGCATTTTGTTTTAACTGATATTTGTTACAATATGGCAAAAAGACCTTTCTTTAATCTTGGTTACAGATATATCTGCTATTAGGAAATTCCATTTCCTCTGGATTCTATGCTACATTAGTTAAATCTAAAAGATATATTTACTAAGAAGACATACAATGTTTTCTCAGCATCTGAAATCCTTGGTTATATGTATTCTCAGTCCAAGCACTAATCTCTCTAAGTGAAACTGTATTCAATTAATAGGATAGAGTTACATAACATACCAACTATACAGTAGCAGATTCTGAAAATCTAATAATGTTGTGTGAAATGTAATTATCTAAGAAGAAGAGATATGTATAAAAATAGGTATTATCCCTAAAATATTTTGCTGAGTTACAGTTCTTCCTGCTTGGAAGTTTACCACACTGCCATGATATATGTATGAAATGTCTGTTCAGAAAAACAAAATTAGAAAATATTCCTCATGTACCAACTCACTAAATGTAGGAATATATAATCAAAACAGGCTCTCAAAAGTGATACAAATATATAGGGAAAGATACCTGTATGTGTGATAAACAAGAAAACACAGAGTCTATTTGTTGGTTAGTTTTGAAAGGGGGCCCATACTTGTCATTAAAATATATATATATATGACCAAAAACACTCATATGGATAGACACATCTTACTTCCCCCCTGCCCTCCATGTTTTTTATTGACAGTCACCACCCACCTTTTCCTAGGATTATTGCCTGACATAACAGAAATTCTGCTGCTTGTTCTCAATAAAGCAGTGAAAGAGAAGCAATCTTTTTCTGCTCTCCTGTCGTGACCCGTGTTCTGGGCTTGTGCTTTTCGGAGGAGTCTTTGATCTGCAGCAGGTCTTAGAGGCTCGTCTCCCGGAGGAACATGGTGCCAATGTGGTAGGAAACCTTCTTTATTCTCGATGAAGAAAGAGAAGGCTTTGGCTGCTTAGGACCAGTCCTTACCTCCAGGAAATAGCAGATCCCGGGGATTTCCTTTGGAAAGTTGTCTGGAAGCTCTTCACGGGACCGAGGAATGAATGTGAAACCTTCTTCCCGTTTCAATAATCTAAGAAGAAAATACAGATAGTGTGAATCAAAGAGGCTGGGGAAATGAGAATAAATGGACAGAAATTTTAAAGGCTCAGGAAGCCTATTAATGATTGGGATCATGTTAATGCCCGTGCTTCTTTTTACAGATGTGGACCTCTTAGGGTTCCAAATACTAGGGAATGTTATTGCTCAGGAAGGACACCTTCATGATATAAAATAATAATAATAATAAAGATTTTCCTGGTAGTACTTGAAAATGTTTGTTCAAGTTTGATTTTTTTTTTCTAAACAAAAGGCTAAGGAAACAGCATAATATAATTTTTATTCAAACATGCAGGATTTACCCCTTCATTTTAAAAACTTCTTAAATTCTGGAGTGTTCCTTTTATGTTTTGTAGACTCCCAGTAATCTTTAATGTATATCCTGTATATCAAACACGTAAATCAGTTATTAGCTCTGTAGAACAACATTCATGACTCCAAGTGTCTGTGGTATGTGGTTACTGATTTCTGGTCATACATATTTTCTAAACTCAGTAGCATTTACTGGTTAAACAGCTTGAGTCTTCCCTTCCAATCATACTTAAAGATTCTTCGCCAGTACACTCACACTGGAGACCCACTGTTGTCCAGTTCCATGGAAGGTTCAGTTTGATATCTAAACCTAAAAATGTGGCCCAGCAATTCAATTTAATTCAACAACTCTTTTGGGCTGCTTCTTAGTGCCCAAGAAAGTCTTCTAGACACTCTTCTGAATATAATAATAAGTGGAACACAGCTGTAGAAGCTCAAAGTTTTGTCAACAGAGAAAGAAACAGTAATATAAAACAGAACAGGCTATTCCCATAAAAAAAGGTAGATACAAAAAGGTGCTGAAGTCCAGAAGGGGAGAAATAATGTTCACACTCAGAGGACCAGAGAGGCCCCGGGGATGAGAGGACACTTAAAAGATGGTCAGAATTTAATAAGTAAACATAATCATAGATTTAGAAATAAGAAAAATTTCAGAATCTAGATGTTTCCAACCATTTGATAGCATTACAAGGAGATGAGCATGAGTGTTAAGCAGTAGGTTAAGACAAAGTTTTGAAATCCTAAACTAAAAGTTTAGACTTTATTTGGAAAGCACAGTGGAGCCAAGCCCATCATCTCTGTCCTAAAAACGACGCATCTTCCTAGGCCGGGAAAGGTCAACAGCAGACCCCAAGTAGTGCAGTGTGAGAAATACACCAGGGAGAAGAAACATTCATTGAGAGAGGGCAAAGTTAAAAAAGGCCCTGAGCAGAAGAACAAGGGATGTGTGAAAATGTAAGACTATTGAACAGACAATGATAATTATCTTTACACTAAGGAGAAGGAAAAATTAATTTCTTCTCAAACATTCTTGCTGAAAATATCTGATATCAGAAAAAAAGAGTTGGTAGTACTAAGAATTCTGGCTAGAGGAGTGATCTCTATTTACATTTTCGAGTGAGAGTTGCAGTATTTTGTTTAGTAAAGGATTTTTTTTTAAAGTTCTAATTGACCACTCCCTAAAAATATCATATAGTGATTATATTAACTTGAGATGTAAGGAAATGAGGTTCATTCTCACAGTTAAAATTATCTCAAAGATGTCATTTCATCCACATAACATAACCCTATGCAAAATCTAAACATGCTATTCTCTGAAAAACAAGGTGAAAACAAGCCCAGAATACGAACAATTTGCTTATGAAAGCAGTAAAGTGGTTGTGGCACTGGAACTAGAATTCAGACCTGTTAACTAGTAGTCAAGCTTAACCCTTCAATGACAGTAAGACTACGCTGAGAGAGCTTTCCATCACAAAGCAGCTCAACTGAGATGCAGACATGGCATTAAAGATAATCAGAATGGAAGGCATCAGTATTTTTTGCTTTTTGTTTGTAGAGATGTTGGTTTTCTTTAACTATGATATATAATCAGTCATTTCAGAAATAAAATGTAAAATTCCTTAAACAATAGTTTAATTTAGCACTGAATCCACAATAATTTTGCTCAGCTCAAACGGAACAGTCATCAGTGTGCCACATGTGGGTATAAAACAATGATGTCAATCAATCAACAGACATTTTTTGAATGTTTTCAACATGGTAGAATTGTCCTGAAAGTGTAGGAGAGTAAGTGGGAATGCAAAGAATAACTTAATAGAAAATTAAGATGGCAAGAAATGCTAACAGAAACAAATTAGCAATAGAAGGCAATACAATGTACAATATAATATAAACCAAAGGAAGAGGAATTCTGCAGGGTAAAGGGAGAAATGACAACTGTGGAACTTAGAACAAAAGTAAAGAACCAGAACAATAAAGTTTACTTCCCCTGACTATAAAATAGAGCTATAAATTCAGTCTTTCCAGAAGTTTCCTTAAAGGCCCATAATCAACAAATAGTACTCCAAGTAAATTGCATTCCTCTTTCCCTATACACTAAACCCTCTACTTCTGCTCTTTTACAGTTTCTTTTTCTCACTATGGTCTTTATATTTTGCTATAATTGAAATTTTATGACATTGAAAAATAAAATTGGTGTTACATCTATTAAAGTACTTGTAAATGACTGAAAGAAAGGTACACTAGCAGCTTTGAATGTCAGGAATTTTAAATGATTCACTGCACTTTGGCTGGGAGGGAACTCTTTGCAATGAAATGATCCCTTGACATTCTAAATACATCTCATATGTACTGTGCTAAAAATTACAGAGATAACAGTTTTTATGGGATTTTATTCTTTCCTAAGTAAATATTTTGGTATCAATAAACAAAATACTACTTTAAATTTCAGTAATAAAAATGAGAGGACATAAGGATAAACTGGTCCAATCGCCTGTGATACCCAGGATTTAGCATCCTTTGTATATGTGAACAATGAAGTGCAACATTCAGAGGGTTTCCATTAGGATGAACTCAGCGAGTTACTAGTGGGGCTGTTCAGCAGGTTAGAGTAAGCATTTTGCACAGCATGCCTGCTGATGAGTCATGTGCTGAATAAATTATCAAATGCGTATACAGGGATTAGGAATTTATACACTGATCACCCCAGAACCTCTGATCCTGTCTGAAATGCTTTATTAAGTCCAAGTCCTTGGGCTGATTCTAACATTCTGCCTGACAATCCATTTCTTCAGCAACTCAGGACTGATAGAGAAGCTTAGGTTCCATGTAAATCTTTACTAATGCCCAGCTGTAATCCCCAGCTGGTTGATATACTACCTGGGAATTTCAGCGACATGTTTAATAAGTATTTGGAAGCCACACAAATCATAATTTAGCTGCTTGTCACGCTTCCTAATGGATTTTTTTTCCTACAAATTGATTTTCAAGATAAAAATTCACTGCTGCTCTGGATCGTTGGATGGCCCCAAGCATCTGAGGGAAGCTTGGAACCATGGAGGCCCATGGCGCTGCTCCCTCCCTGCTGAGGAAATGGAGCTCAGCTCTCGTTTGCATGCCCATCTCCCCAGTTTTCACCAGGCTTTGTGCTCTGTCCCCTGTTCTCTCTTGGAAATGGACCTGAAACATCTTCACACTGAGGTACAAAGGACCTAAACATAATTTACATGTTAACATATTTTTCAGATCACACGTCAGTTAGCATATATGAAAGTACAACTTGATGATCTGTAAGGCTGAGGTCAGAATTTGGTCTATACACTTTTCTCCAATTATATACTTTGATTTGATTGCCAATTAGGGAGGAGGCCTTTATGTTTTGTTACTATGTACATTTTCGACACTGCTCTAAGACTTTAGAATTAGGAAAGACAACAGATCATGCAATTCTTGAGCCATGCTTCACCTTCCTGCAGTCTTCCTGTCAAGTGAGTTCAGCAGTCAGCCAGTCAGCAATTAGTTGTTAAATATCTCCTATGAGCAAGGTGCTGAGCCAATGCACTCCTACTTCCAACCGTAACAGTGAGCAGGAGAAGACAGAGGGAAAGAAGAAGGAATTTTTATTTTTGCTGAAAATGGTCTTTCCATAAACTAGTTATTTTTTTGTTTTATTTTAGCTGAGTTAATGCCATGGACAGCTCCATAGACAGGGATAACTTGTTAAAATTAGTGGATCTAGTTCTAGCTTGTAATAATGACCAACTAGTATATGCAATCCTCTAACACCTACACATTTGAAATCATCATGCAGGATTGGAAATCTTTTGTTTCAAGAACTAGAAAGGTCTGTGCAATATGCAGAGCTGTAAGAGAGAGACAACTCAGATGCTATCTACCAGCGTAATCAAAGACTCAACTACTAATCAACACACTACCACCAAAGGGTTCTTTAAGACCAAGGCAAGGCAATAATACATGATACATCTTACAGAGCTCAAGGGTAGAAGGGATATGTGGGTAATTAATTACATTTTAAAGGCTCTGAATGTCTGAAGTGTCTTTAGTTCACGCTCCTCAGTTTGTTTGGTTTCATTAGACATTAAATTCTTGTTTGGAAATTATTTTCCCCTCAGTATTTTGATGCTAAGAAATCAGATGCCATTCTGATTCCTATTCCAAAGGATATGAACGTCCTCCTAGTCCATGACTCAGTCTCTCTCTCTCTCACCAACATCTTTCTATCTCTGATACTATAAAAAATAATGATTTTCACAACTGTGCCCCAATGAATCTTTTTATTCATTAAAATGACCATACATGGAACTTTTTGATAGAGCCAAGTTATATTTTTCAGTTCTCGGAAAATTTTTTGTTATTTCTTTGATAATTTCTTGTGCTTTTTCTGTATAGCTATTTTTTTTCTGGATTTCTGCTTAGTCAGATACTGGATTTGGTAAACTGATCCTCCAGTTTGTTTTTCTTTCTCTCTGATTTACATGCTCATTTCTCTATTCTACTTTTACAAGATTGCCTTCAGTATTATCTTCTAATTCTTACATACAGATTTTTTTCTGTCTTTCTTTTCTTATTAAGGTATCATTGATATACAATCTTATGAAGATTTCACATAAAAATATTGTGGTTACTACATTCACCCATATTATC